CAATTGCCAGCAAGATGCTATCTTGCTGAAGTTCAGAAATGCTATTCAGGTGTGGCTGAAAACACCTGGAATAGTGACCATAAAAATAAAGCAGGAAGAATTTTTTTTGGAGAGTGAGATGTCCATTCAACATATTACCAAGCACAAGTATGAGATTACTTTTTACCATGAAAATTTAACCATCTCCAATAATGCAATTTTTAACCATATTCTAGAAAAATGATCAGGATGCCCAGGTGTGGCTGGGCACCCCCAGCTTGTACTGGACAATATTTCTTAGTCACCCACGCAGTTACGTTTTTCTTTGATGGACTCAGGCTTGAAATCAAAATGGAATCGAACTAATTGTTATTCTTTTAGGTCAAGAAGGAAGCTGACAGTTCAAAATCCGCAGTTCTTGCGCTGAAGACCGAAGTGAATGAGAAGCAGTTTGAAGTCTATCTGAACCGAGAACAGCATTCGATGTGGCAGCTGATCGTCAAGTGGATGGAATCCGCGAAACAAGGGAAATACTCTTATGTCTTGAAGCTCGGATCAGAAAAGCGACTCGAACTTTCCGAGGAACTGGAAACGCAGAAACAAAACTTGCTGAAAGCGATTGATGCAGTTGGAGCTAGACACGATTTAGAGCGTATCGCTGAAACTCGTGCTGTTTTGTCCGTTGTTTGACGCTGAAGATTGTGTTCATTACTTTTTTGAGCTTTTCTTCTGGATTTTGTGATCTGAACTAGTCCGTCCGAAAAGATTGTGTTCCATTTTCGATAGCTTTGGTGTAAGTTTGGTGTACGATGTGGGTGATGATACTCATGAAAGAGTTGGCTGATTCTGAAATCCGTTTTTGATATTTCCTGAGATCTGAGCTAAAAACGTGAGATAATCGAAATTGAATATCTTCGACTCTTCGAGTGATCTCTAATTTAATGAACCTCAAAGGGAAATTACCCCTGAAATTGGCTAATTTTTTCAGTTTCATTGAAGTTCCGATCTGGTTTCAAACTACCTGTACTGTAGCTTTATAGAAACGGGTAGTTTATTCACTGTGTTGGAACTTCTCATCCCAAAGAGTCATTCGTTATGAGAGACAAATTTAAAAATGGGTGTTGTAAGCTTGTACTGTAAATGCTACGAACAGTTCGCTCTACTCTACTGATCAGTTTTAAGTTGAAGATGAACTTCCGGAACTCGGATAGAATTAGAATTTATGCGTAAGACATATGTTGAAATTTGTGGAACCCCGGTTTATTTTGTGTGTTCGACATTGGAAAGGATTTATTTTTCGGTTCATTTTCGAGGTTTCAGGTGGTTTGAGTCTATTCGATGTTCATCATTTTTTTTTTGAAGATTGGTCTTGAAGTATTTGGTCTGCTTTCAGCTTCGCTTGTTCTTACATTTTTTTCTTGGTTTTCCTTTGGAAGTGAAATGCACAATTTCTATCAATATGGAACTGCTTTTCATTTTATCCGTGCTGATTTGCCTTGTGCATTAATGCTATATATGATGCGTTGTGATTCCAGTTGCAATTGCCGTGCTTGCGGGTGAAGAATGTCAAACAAGGCTTACATCAGTTCACAATCATCCCATGGAAGTCCTGCTGAAGGTGGCGGTCGTGGTCGTGGACGAGGCCGAGGAACCAGACGGCCCTTCTTCCGTGCCAGGGGTTCTAGTCGAGGAATGCTTGGATCTTCGTCTGTTGCCGTTCTGGCGGACGTGATACTTCCTACACCCGAAAAGCCGGTTCCTGAACCATTGGATGATCCTGGGCCTCCGAAAGGATGTCCTTTCGTCGGCTGGACCATGTATTTCCTGCATGGTAGTTTCGACGGAGGGATCAAACCACCCGCGTCTTGCGTTCCCGTCTTCGTGAAATATTTCAAAAAGCGGCTGGAAAAGTACAATGTGGCCACTATTGTGGCGAAGCAGGTCTTCGATGTGGATCTCATCGATTTATGCGAAGATGCCGGTGAGTTTCCGAATCCGCGAAATATTGTTGACGTTGTGAACTCTGGTGCTTATGTGCTGTGCACATTAGAATGCACTACTTTTTGATGTTCGGAAGTCGGGTGAGCGTGAAACTCCGTTACACTGAAGCATATTTTCTTCTCATTATCTAACCTTCCTGTTTCGTAAAAGAAAGTCGATTTTTTTAGCTGTTCTTCAAACCAAGCGAACAATCCTCAAAATCATTTCTCGCACCATATGCATTAAGAAAAATCACTCTTCATCCCGTTTGTTACAGTAACAGGGGTCCCCGAGATGCGGACATGCAGTAATTGGTGCTTGGACACTGTCCACATGTCAAAACGTCCACATGTTGGATCGCGTTTTCCCACAATGGGAACCTATTAAATTGGTTCTATTGTTCATCAAAAATTAGGGGCGTTGTTATTCAACTGGAAAAATAAATTTATCAACTTCAAGATACAGAAAATAATTGCGCGGAAGAAAATTGCACAGAATCGGATCTTTTGCATGAAAGAAGGCCCATTAAAGTGAAAACGGAAGAATTATCACAAGAAAGACTTGTATTTTGGATTATGAATTAAAGTAAATTTATAATAAAATTTGTTTTCAATTTTTGTGGATATAGAGGAGCTCAATCAATGAGGTATTCAATTTATTCGAGAGTTGAAATTTATTCAAGAGTTGAAATTTATTCGAGAGATATTCAATTTTTTTAAGAGGTACTGCATCAACATTTTGAAAAATAATTTTCCATTTTCAAGAAAATTTGGCGGTGTGTTAATTTCTCGAGGCAACGCCCAGATGTCAGGGAATATTTTTCTAGCTTGAAGTGTCTCGCTATTTCTAGGCCCCACTGTAGTCACGAATAAGTCCACAATCCGAAGAAAAAGTGATTACGACAGCTCGATTCTTTGTGCGGAAAAGCATCAACAAGTTTCCTTTTCTGGTAGCAACGTACTGTACCTCTTAACGCACTTCGCAGTTTATGGGATACAGTATTTATTTAAAAAAAAAACAGAAACTCAATAAATGTGTTCTCTATTCCGTTGCGATTTTCGAAATCTTGAAGACGTGAAGAAGGGCCTGAGCTACGCGTTGTACAAATCCGAGTCGTTTGGAGACGTCGTTGTCAGAAACTGGTTGTTGGACGGAGGCGAGCGCGGAGTCGGAGAAGCGCTATCCGTGTTGGGAATCGCCATGCATCACGTTGTGGATCATGCCTTGCGAGGTGGCGACGATTCCCTCGCCGTGGTTCCCTTTTTGCAGCCGAGAATCCGAGAACACGGGCCCATTTCGCCTATGCGGGATTTACGAACGGAATCGTACGGGAAGGTTGTGAGTGTGCGAGGCACTATTGTGAGAGTCGGGCCGACGAAGCTGGTGTGCAAGCGAATGGTGTACAAGTGCGACGTCTGTGGGAAGCTTTTTGCTTACAGGTCAGTTCGTTTCATCTCTATCACACGCTATGTACAGGTGGACTCTACACAACAAAACTCAAGGGACCAGAAGACGATTATTTGTGGAGAGAATTTCCGCTGGGAAGTTTTAGCAGTGTTCCCCAACGGGCGCCGGTCCGCGAGAAATTTTCTCAAGCATAATAAATGTATCAAAAACGGCAATGAAGTCTGCTGTCTTTATCTGAAATTTTGGAGCGACAATGGCTGTTGAAATTATCTGATGAAAAATGAAGGCTATAATAATAATGCTTTATGAACAAATGTTTCACTTGCTGAAATAAATACTTTAATTTTTCATCCTGAGAAGCCTTTTTTTTAGAGGACATTCCACTACAGCTACTTAATTGGTTCTTGACTAGATTTTTGCAAGAAAGCTGACACTTTTTAAATACCTGCCAGAAAATCTTCAAAGCGGAACTTTATTGAGTCTGCAAAATGTATGAAACTTCGCTGCTTTGCAGGACATTTTTGGAAACTTGCTGGTCTGCAAACAATTTTATGGTAATTTGCTAGTTTGCAGGCCCAAAAACGTTGGGGTACACTGTTGTGGAAAACCCCTATAACCTGAAGAGAGCACCCTATGCCTATGGGAACAGAAAATATATTTTGTACGGAGAAAATCGCAAGATCATTGTGTAGAGAGAGTATTTGTATTGATTGGACATCTCTTGGTGTCGAGTTATTGTTGGGTCTTCATGCCTTGTTCAAAGGTGTCTTTCGATTCTTCAAAAAATTTTTCTGTCCTATCTCTCGTCGTGATACAATCTAAATGATAGCGTATTCATTCGAGTACCACGCGTACCTTTCTTTCCAGAAATTGAGGCGGAAAAATTGGGTGCGTGTGGGGTGTGGCACCTGGTGATACATTTACTAAGGAAAAATCCCAAAAATCAGTGCCCCCCTCACGCATGTGAGTACTGTACTGTACATCTAAGCAACAACAAAGAATGTAGAGGAAATGTTTGGCGCCAAGTTTCCTCGTCCATGGGAAATTATGGCTCAAGTCATAAAAATGTAAGGAATTCATCGGTTGGAGATGCAACCGGAACTGAAGCAAAACGCAAAATATTCATATTAATTGAGGAAGCTGCCGTATATTGCAAGCACATTTAAACTGCTCCTGCAGACAGTAAAAAACAGGAAAGACTAATCATCAACGGGGGAAAATGAATCCACGCACGAAGAAGATACAGTACTTGATTTTCAGCACACACACAAAAATGAAATAAACAGGGGTGTGGGTCTTACAGGGAGAGAGGTTTTTTGGGCGAATTTCTTGATGAAAAATTGCGGGTTTCTTATTGATATCAAATTTTAACTCCGCAGAGGTGTTTTGGAGCGTGTTGTGGGAGGCTCAATCAAGGTTGTCCAGCCGGAAAAATGCCCCAAGTTCAATTCCAAATCGAACAACAAGAATGCTGTTCCAGCCGAAGAACCTTGCAGGAGCAAACAATTTTCCCTGTGCTTCGAATCCCGAGGTATGCTGGTGGTTGATGGCAGAACTATTCAAATTCAGGAACTGATGACGGATGGGGAACAGCGTCAGAGCGGCAGAATGCCTCGCATTATTAGTGTGGAACTGGAAAGAGATCTGATTTCTGAGTGTCCAGCTGGAGACGTGGTTACTGTTACTGGATTAGTGCAGGTCGGGGAACCTGACGGCACCAGTGGAAGTGAAGGTGGAAGAACGAAGCATTCGTTGATTATCAATGCTTTGTACCTTGGCAATGACAAGGTTTGTGTCAGACCGAATGTTTAGAGAAAACTCATGTCCGGAAAACTTCAATTTTCTTCACGAAAACGTGTGTGTGTGTTCTTGGTTTCGCGGAAAACTTGAAGCACAATATTTTAGCAGTGCCTGTTGCAAAAAAAAAAAATAATTTTGACATGTTTCAAAAATGCTACAGAATCAAGCGAGTTTGTTTTGCATGAGTTCAGTGCGAACATATTTTCTTCCCATCAGTCTGGTTAAAACTAATTCTTGGTTGCTTGAGTTCAAACTTTTTTTTTCCAAAAATCTTTGCGAAGTTAAAAACAAAAAATAACGAACACTACAGCTCATGTGTTTTAGTCAACCATGAAGTATATACCAGAAAATTATGCAGTTAATTTCTTCTTATTTCGTCTTCTTTTCAAATATTTCATTCAGTTTTCTTCATTTTTTTTGCACAGGAAATCTCAATGCAGCGAACGAACGGTTGTGGCGTGTATTTCTCCGATTTGGACCATATGGCATTTGAAGAGCTAAAGCGAGAGAAGAATATTTTTCGTTTGCTTGTGCAGTCCGTGTGTCCTGCGATTTTTGGTCATGACATTGTCAAGGTGTGTTCCCCTCTTACAAGATTTTTCAAGCCGGAAAGTTGCAACAATCTTCGAGCTTTTCACGTTCGTACTCCATAATTTCGTTTATTTGAGCATCTCTTTTCTAGGGTGGAAGGAAAATGGTGATGCATGTAGTCGAAATAATGTCACTGAGAAAATGCTGCATTTCGCTGTAACGGAGCTGGTTTAGAATTACTGTGCAGTATAATAATTATTCTTGGACCAAAGAAAGGTATTTTTCATAATTTTGTTCTCTATCTTTGTATATACTGTATATACAAATCTCAGTACGTATAGCACAGCCGAAGTTGAAGTTCTCACGATTTTTATTTTTTGAAGGCTTCATCAGAGAATTCGAGGTATGGAGGCCTGAGTAGAAACGCTTTCAAGTTAGGGAGGTTTTAATGCAATGTATCCAAGAGAATTCAGAAAAGGACTTGAAAAACATTCGAATTATGGAGGTTTGAGTTATTTTGGTCCAACTGTATTTATTCTTCTGGGACCAAAGAAAGGTTTTTTTTTTTAGAAATTATTTTTATCCGTGCGTAGAGAGGCATGTAAGAATAGTACAGCCAACGTTGAAATTTTAACGAGATTTATTTTTCGAAGGCTGCTCTTATCCTGGCTTTATTTGGCGGATGTCGAAAAGGCGGAGAGTTTCGTGATGCCTCGGGCTCTGCACAGGAGTCCAACTCTGTGCCGATTCGCGGTGACGTACACGTTCTAGTTGTCGGGGATCCCGGCTTGGGGAAAAGCCAACTACTCAAAGCAGCGGTAGATGTCGCTCCTCGCGGCGTGTACATCTGTGGGAACTTGTCAACCAGTGCGGGTCTCACTGTATCCATGTCGAACGGGGCATTGGAGGCTGGTGCTGTTGTGCTATCGGATCGTGGGGTGTGTTGCATAGATGAGTTTGATAAGATGTCGAAGCAGCACGAGGCCTTGTTGGAAGTGATGGAGCAACAGACTGTGAGCATTGCAAAGGCGGGTGTTGTGTGCTGTGTTCCTGCCCGAGCAACGATCCTGGCTGCTGCTAATCCCAGAGGAGGTCACTACAATGCCGCCAAAACCGTCGCTGAGAATCTCAGGTTAATTATGCGTTCTATCCTTGGAAATTCCAGGTTGCGGGTTACGGTTGTTTCTCTGTTAAATTTCGAGTCAATTTTGTTAGAAGGAAAGCCCCTCTCTTTCTAGAGTAGCGTGCGAAAATTAATCCGAAAGCGATTTAGTTTTGAAATATTGTGGGACCCCGAGATGCGGACGTAATTGATGCTTCTTCACGTTAACTTTAATTTCACCAATTTACATTGTTGCTGCTGTATAGTAAAACGAGCTCATGTTGATCAGGTTTTCCGATAGACTTCGATGCGAACACATTTAATAGGTTCTCCTGTTCATAAGAAGAAAAATTCGTACATGAAATTGAATAAAAATCGTTTCCCTCAACTTCAAGTTACGGAAAATAACTGTGGAGTAGAAAGCCGCTTAAAATCTGATCCTCTCTGGCATCGAAAGGAGCTCAAAAAGCAAAGAACAAGAATACATTTTGCAATGCTGTGCACAGGCGATGTAAAAAGAAAAAAAACTGGAAAAAGAAGCTCTAAAATCATGCTATTCTTGACTATGAATTGTATTATGATTATGAATGTATGACTGAATGGGTTTTCAATTTTTTAGCATATAATTAGCTCAATTTAATCAAGATACTGTGCATCAAAATTTGGTAGAAAAACAATTTCCGTGTTTGAAAAAATATTGAGAAGTGTCCCTATCTTGAGACATTGTCCGGATGTTGGAGCATATCCGTGGGTTCCGAGTGTAACTCAAATCGTCCACATGACGGGGCGTCCGACCGACGCAGTTAATTGAAGACAAAACGACACTAGGTGAGTTTGGTTGAATTCACCTTCTTCATGTTTATTCTGTGGTTCAAAGAAGTGTAAATTAAATCGCGTGTGGGTCTGTTTTTCGCGCGCGATGAACTTACCAGCAGTGCTTGTATGGATTTTAAAAACTTCATTAATAATTCAATGATTTTTCATGTGTTTCGCCGATTATGCTACTTTGTGAAAATAATTGAAGCATTTTACGGATGCTGATTTTGAACTTGATTCTTTGCTGACTTGAAAAATACCCCTGTTGAGGATTTACTGTTCAGTATTCTATGATATTTTTGAAAAACACGTATCCCAAGACACATATTTCTGGAAAAGGTTTGAATGACATTTTGTAGCGCTTCCTGGAAGGTTCTATAAAATCATCTTGAACTTAAACTTCAATACGGAACTACTTTCAACATACCCTTCGAAACTATCAGCTTAGGAAAGAGAAGGCAGCAGGCACCGAATATTGAACTCAAAATCCGAATTAAAAAAAAATATGGAAGACGAAAAATCATGAGCAGAATCCTTTTAGATGAATTGCGCATTTATTCACTCTCCTACTATTGCTTGGAGTGACGTTAGACTGGACGCGGGAATGATGAAAGTAAAGCCACCATTTGGATTGTTTTGGTTAATGTTGAAATAATTCTTTATATTTTTTTCAGCCGCTCGTCTTCGTCCGGATCCCGGTGAAAATCTCGACCCTGTCCCTCATCAAATTCTTCGGAAATATGTCGCATTTGCGCGTGCCAATGTGCGACCGACATTGACCCAAGAAGCCAGGGATGTGTTGCAAACTTTTTATTTGGAACTGCGGAAAAATCAGAGTTCTTCTTCGGATAGCGTGCCGATAACGACTCGTCAGTTGGAATCCTTGATCCGTCTAACGGAAGCCAGGGCAAAGTTGGAGCTGCGAGAAGAAGCGACTGTGGAAGATGCATTGGAGGTGGTGGAGTTGATGAAGTTTTCGATTGTGCAGACGGTACGGCTGTTTATGCCCCTTTACCTAAAGCTACACTCAACTACTTATACTAATTACGCGTATAACGCTAGTTTTTAGCTTAAATTATTTTAGAGCAATGGTGTTTGAAAACCCCTGAAGTTATTTGTTTTTTTGTACTGAATAATTTTCTATAAGGGGATTTTCGTTATTAATGAGTGGAACGAATTGTCACATCAGACCTGCCGAAAATCAATGAGATCTCTCTTTTCTGGCATTCTCAATTTTTTTTTATTGAGTGATCTTCAGCGGAAGAAAAATGAGCTTAAATCATGCATTCCATAATTTGAGCCAAATTGTTAAAAGAGTACACTTCTGACCTTCTGATAGGATTTGAGAAAAGTTTTTTCTGCAAAAAAATGTGCTGTAATGGTATTCGTTGTAATGAGATTGAACTCTACTGTATTGTATTTTCTTCCCACTAAATACCTTATGTCCCCAACTCAAGGATTTTCTTAGCTCTTTTACTCTTGTTATGTCACATGTATCTACAGCGAAGATTAAGACAACGTAAAACTAGCTGACCTTATCGCGAAACAAAAGCTAAAGACTCCCTGTGATTTTTGAAAGCCTTTACGAGTTTTATGGAAAAGATGAACAACGGAAGGTACAACTAAATTTTGGCGGAAAGAAAAAGTCAGTTGAATATCTTCGGATTTGAACTTGATTGCTGTTCTGTTTAATGAGTGATGTCGTTCTCATTTTTGAATGGTTTGAGGATGAGCTTGATGACGTAATTTGTTGTTGTTGTTGGGGTCATTTAGGTTATATAATTGTGTATCATGTTACGCTACACCTGCTTTACATATTCGCAAACGCGAAAATGTCAGAAGTGTGAATGACCAGTTATTCGTAATGAGTGTCGAAATTCCATAGAATTTAGTTTTCATCCTCCGAAATTTTTGTACCGTCGAAGGGGAAGTTGAAATGAATCTATTAATTTATTTTTTACAGAGATCCGTTCATGGGAGTGGAATGTCCAAATCTACAAAACTGAAGCGTCTGCTGTCAATCCTTGAAAGTGAAGCAGAATCCAATGGATCGAACCTTTTTAGTGAAAAACTGCTTCATCAGCTGATCAAAAGATCTTCTGATGTGAACCCTTCGGCTGCCATTGAAAGCTTGAATACGCAAGGGTTCCTTTTAATGATGGGAAACCGGATGTACAAGTTGCTCAGTTCAAGTTTTTGAGCATCATTTTGGGGTTGCCTTAAATACTTGGTGAACAAATTTTGATTTGACTTTCTCTCCACTGTTGTATCCCATGCGGAAAAGTAGCTGCTAGGATCAGTTCTTATTTGATCATTTGGCCATACTTCAGTAAGTGTCGCGAATTTCCTGATCGACGATTTTCTTTTACACCAGGAACGTTTTCCATTTATCAAAACACGCAGTCCTATTTTAAGGGGTAATTTTTTTACTTCGTTTAGTTTCTTTCATTGAGTGACACCTGTCTCTTATCCCGGGAAACAATGTCCGGCATTAAACACTATGCAACTTTGCCTTCGGCCTTGACTGGGGCTAAATTACTAAGCTAACAGAACAAAAAATTCGAACGGAAATTTGAGAAAATTACTCTTCGGGCTACTAGTACAGTACTTGGAGTAAAAAAAATAGAAATTCGGTGTTCTTGGTTTTCTTTATGCCTTCAAATTTGTGATATGTGATATTTTTGGAAGAGCGATGCAGCAAATGAAAAAATTGATTTTTTTAAGGTATATTTGTTTTTAGTACTGTATCTTGGACTTTATTGTATTAAGTTCTCGCGTTGCTAGCGTCCCTGTTCGATTTTTGAAAACATTTTTTTTTCATTAGGAGCACTTAGCGTTTTTTTCAAGTTTCGATGGGGAAAATGTGTCGGTTTTGTTTCTGGGTCCGCGATCATCGCCCACATTGGTTATTTTGTATGTGAATACGAAAGGACGACATCTGTGTGACACCAGTGTGATGGCTGATCTTGAGTTTTCTGGAGAAATTGCTCGTTGTAGGGATTGGAACGTTGTCGTTGACTCCAGCCGCACGGGATAAATTTTCCTTCGGGAGTACAGTATCGTTACAGTTCAAGGGGAAAAAGGTGAGTCAAACCATGTACAGTACAAAACAAAACTTCATCCCCTCATCCTAGACTTGCTTATCTGGCTTCTTCATCTTTTGTTTTCGTGAAATGGGTGAGTAAAATAAATCTTCCTGAAACGCTTTATGTTGAAAAATTGTACAGTATTCATTTTTTGGTGTAGAAAAAAACAATCTGAATATTTTTGAATGGATGGCGAATCCTCATCAAAACTCTTTCAGGAGATTGGTTTAGTTTCAACTTTTTCAGAATATTGAAATTTTCTTATGTGAGATATTTTTTTTGTATTCCTTTCTTTGATCCAACAGAAGAACCCTGCTATTTCTGCAAAATTTCGAAGCTTGCCTAAATAAATGATGATATTGGTATTTTAAAAATGTAGTTAACAGTGGAACAGAGCAGGTAACATGATAATAACTTAGCGCAATACAGTACTGTGCTGTGAGGAATTTTGTCAAGGATAGAGCTTGAGTAAACAGAAATACAAGCTGCTGTGATGGTCATTTGCTGGATCGATTCAGAATATGCTGAAAATGTGTCATGAGAGTTTAGAAGTTGCAATTTATTGTGTAGTTTCTCATAAGACTGCACAAAAACTGTCATAGTTGTACAGTAGCTGACAAATGTTTTGATTGTCAGTTTCCTTGTAAGAAATCAAAAAGGAAAAATCTTTCGAGGGGTAGCCATTGAAAGTTTCAAATTTAAATTTTTCCTAATTTGTTTTCAAAATCCTTTGCCAAGGATAATTTCTGAAAATCGCAATGATTTTGTTTGGATTTCCATTACACTTTTGTGATAAAGAAGGAAGACTTCTTGGTTATGGTCAGTTTCTGACTCATTTCATAGTCATGAAAATGTGTCATGAAAGTTTAAAAATTGAAATTTTGTTGTGTACAGTAGTTTGTTATGAGACAACACAACAAAATTTCAAGTGGCTTCAGGTTTGCTTTTCAGGTAATTTAATGGATTTTTAATTGCCTCTGAAACAACCCGCTGTTTTTCTCCTGGCTTGGCAGACTTTTTTTTCTGTTCACTGTTACTTTGTCTCTCATGGGGTTCCACACAATTTGCACCCAGAGAAAGAAATGCTGATGTGTCAGATTAATTCTTGATCCTGTCAATAAAAAAAATCGCAAAACTAAAGTCAAACTTTAAGCCAGTAAAAAGCCTATTGTGATGCAAGGAAATTATTCTTCAATGAAAGCTGGAAAATATTCTTCCTACTTGGAATGTGCAGGAAGTGAAATTCAGCATTATTGTCCTGTGCTTGATGACAATTTTTGATTACCTTAGAATGCTTTGGTACTCCTCAGAACTTGAAAAAAATTTCCATACAATGGAGGACTCTTGAAATGACTCAAATTCAATGGTGCTGTTGTAAAGAGATTGTTGACACCAGGAACAGTCCACCCCTGAGGGACAATGCAAATTCTAAAAAAAGTGTATAATTTCTAACCAGTAGGCCCCTATAGTAGGATCTAGTTACACAAACTCAACTGCTTATTTTCGCATTTACTCAAGTTCTCTCCTTCAAAAAAATATCTGATTCTGACTGGTTTCAGCCTAGCTGTGCTTGGTGAAGTTTCCTGATCACCTTTGCCTGAATGTGTTGTTGATAAACCTCTAAACTTGAGAGTAAATATCCTGTAGAAAGAAGGGCTCGAAAAAAAAAAACCGTCCGCTCAACGGTGAAATCGAATATAAAAATGTAGACACAAGGAGCAGGCAAAGTCTGGAAAAGAGATTCCCTACTGTTCACATCTTATAATTGGACAAACAGAAATCCTTGTGCTGTATACATTTTCACTTGAGTTCCCTTCCCTAAAAATTGACACAAAGCTTTGTTATTTTCTCGTCGCCTGCCTTGTTCGACTGTTCAATCCATATTGTGAATTCTGATGTCTCCAGTTATTCAGGTGATCTTCGACATTTTTCAAAACTTTCGGATTTTCTGCGTTTTGGATTTGAAAAAAATAAGAGTTCAAAAATACATCGCATGCGAAAATTGCAATATGATGAGAAAGTTCAAGCTCAACAAATAACTATGGATGATTGAACAGAATTTGTAGCAAAGTTATATTCGAAAATGAACGCACCAAAGTATTTTCTATTATTGCCGCAAGCCAGGAAGTACATCATTTGTTGAACATGCGCTTTTCTTCACAAAGTTTTCATTTTCAAACTAGTGTCATTGCTCAGACAATAACAAAAACTCTCCAGGGATGGTTCCCAACTTTTGACACATTTCCCAGTGTGAGAATACCTGTCCAGGCGGACCACTTCTTGAACCTGCCGAAAAGAGAGAAAATTCATAATTGATCTCACGATCGAATCGAATGACACCATGGGACAATTTAAGTAATCTTACTTGGATATGACCCATGATTGAAGTGGTCGTGTCTCTTTTTGCCCCAGTCACGAGCACTTGTACTCGAACAGGTCCGCTATTAAGGTTTACTTCAAGATTAAGAAGAACATGACTTTATCCTTATGCAATTCTTTGTATACATGTAAGACAGGCAGATTCGCAGTGTGCGTCTGAAAAGAACTCGCTGCTGGAAATACTTGATATTCTTCTGCAGAACATTGAAGAAATTCAAAATCTCTCACGAGAAATTCAGGTATCAACAGAACGCAACCTAGTCATTCACTCCTAAGGAGATGCCAGAAACTGTTGTCCGCTGAATTTATTGCATTGAAAAATCGAACAAATACCGAAAATTTGAAACTCCTAGGAATAAATTCAAATCTTTAAAAATATGTTCACCTGAGTCTTTTGTCGCTGGGATCCTTTTGATTGACATCACCTCAATCTCTTTCAAGTCCCAGTCTTTGCAAGTGCCAAAAACAAATGCAGGAAGAAAGCTGAATTCATGGGGAACAGTTTTTTCTCTCTCTGGAAGATAATCAGCAGCAAGCACCTCGTGATTATGGAAGAGCAAGCTAACCCCCGCTGTTTGGCCGTGTCTCCTGAGGTAGAGTTTGTCGTAGAAGGGTTTTTCTGCAGTTTTTCTCATGAATTCGATGACTGCTAAACCCGCTTTTGCCAATTCCATATTTGTCATGGGAAGCTTCTTTAAAGCCACGGAATCCACTTTGCCTGTGGATTCTTCGCAGCCACACAGATGCATGGGAACACCTGCATCGTAGCAGGTTCTTGTCTTTGGCACTGGTTGCAACAAGCTTTTGGCTTCCTCGGAAACCCCAGTACCCGGGGGTGTTTCAGCTGGACTTCGAACAAAAGAGGCTGAATAATAATGCAGCTTTGGGTAATAGGTTTGATCCATTCTATAGAAAAAGCTACTATGCGAAAAATTGTTGAAATAACTAATAAAAATGGCTGGCTTTTCATGCACTATCCAAAATAATATTCATTCAGAAAAAAACCTTTACTTTTACTCTATTGCCTTGTGTTGGTAAAAAAAGTGATAGTTTCTGGCTTTCTTCCCAGTTACATTGCTATGCTCCAGGCTCTGGAAATTTCTGTTGAATTAAATTTGTGTTTCCTCAAGCATTTTTTATGGCATTAGTTATTTTACATCCTCCATTATATGTTTATTTTCACAAATGTCAGTTCACGTTATCTTAAAATGGATACTGTTGTTATCCAGGAAATACTTGGATTTGTTTCCAAGACCTCTTTTTAAATTGCACCTTACTTTGAGGAAGCAAACAAGGTTTTCTTGCTGCAGCTGTTCCCCTTGTTTTGAAATCTCTCTTCTCACGTCACCCCAGGTTAAACAGGGTGACGTGCTTTTTTCCTCTCTAACAAATATAAAACTCCCCCTCACTTCTGACAGTAATGAATGTTATCCGCGCAGCTGCACCTCTGAAATTTGTATTTCAGAGGTATATATTGTATACAACAGATTTGCATATGTATCTTGTGTTGTGTATCACATTTCTAATATTTTGCTTCATGAGATCTGCGCACTCATGAATAATATACAAAATACCTTATCTGATGGCCTATATTCCTGAAAAGCATATATATTGCTGAGGAACAATATTTTCCTCAGATTTAATCCTGTGTTGACCGCGGTTAAGTCACAGAGAACCTTGTGTACGTTTAACAAGATTCTCTTTAACAAATCTGTCTGTTTATTTTTGAATATTGTTTGAACCTTGCTTGTTGTGAATAAAAGTACTGTATATATATATATATATATATATATATATTGAACGTCTGTTTTATTTTATGGACAACACTGTATTTACATGAGTACAATACAGGCATGCACCCTTTAGTTGGATGCACGCTGGGGTTTTCAAGTTTTGAATTTTAGTAAAATGCTAACCCCAAGTAAAACGCCTATCCCATTTATAGTTATTGTAAAACCACAATATTTCAATGATCAGAGCACCCACATATGAATTTAAAAATATAATTTGACCATTTTTCAATTGCTTCGAATATTTTTCTATCAGTTGTTCTGTCAAACTTGGGGTAAAATTTCTCCCTGGATGCAAGTACAGTATAATGCGCACTAACACTTGTAAATTTTGTTGAGAAAGGTATTCCCACATATGATATAGTGCACCCTTTTCCCTCTCAAATTGGTGGAAAAAGCGCACATGGTACTTACGTAAATACAGTACAGTTCCTTGCTTATTTTACAGTCTGGTGAATGTTCCAATTAAAAATCTATCTTGTCTTCTCTGGAACACAACTATGTGTTCAAGACACCAGATTCAATTTTCAAACTGAAGGTACAGTACTAGGTCCACAGAATAGTCTTGTCTAAAGTAAAAAAAATTTTAAAGCCTCTCTATATACAGTGGCCCAAAATTTTGATAATGCCATCCTGGAAGAAATCAATTTCATCATGATGCTGCTTGTGTAATAGCTTGATCACTTTGTATGATTCAAAATATGAATTGCTGATTTACAAATCAATCAAGTTTCCTCAACTGATCCAAAGGTTTTTTAAAAAATGAATTCGCCTAATTGGCTGTGGTTTTATGTGTGATATTGTATGAATTCCTTTAACACCCATTAAGAATCCCAACTGAAGTAGAACATTATACTTACTTATGTAAAGCTAAATGTTTGATAGTTTTATGCAAGTCCGAAATGGTGGTAAGCATCTTGGTGTTCAAGAACTCTAACATAGCTTCAACTCCGGCCACAACGTCATCGGTAAGACCCTGAACGTTCATGTAATTACCGGATGCTAATAGTTCGTATGAACACGCCTATAAAGATTACAGTTAAGGAAAAAACGCATGATCAGTGAATATCACCAGCACTGTGGTATTGTGCACTTCAGTGTTGGAATTGAACCATTTGATGTATTGGGACATATCTGTGTCCACACCTCTGAGCCTGTCAGTGTAGTCATGAGAATATTGTTTCTGGAAGGTGAAGAGTATCTTTGGCTTGTCCTTGTACAGCTGAAACTGTTCTTTGTTGAAATTGAGAAACATCTGGGAAACCAGAAAAATGCACATAAGAAATGTATTAAACAAAATTGTTCAATAATACAGGGAGAATTCCATTACAACAAGTCTTGCATTATTATCATTGATTTCTTGAATCTTTTCAAAATCATGCAAGGAAGAAATTTTAGTATGTAATTTGCAGTTTAACCCTTTGAGTGGCAAGGTTGAATTTTTTAAAAGCAAAATTTGTCACCTGTGCAGGCACATTGAAAAAGTGAGTGCATCCAGGGCAAAGTTGGAGAAAGTTCTGGCGGTTTTTTGAAAACACAGACAATTTTCACTCGGAATTTTGTGCTTCAGAAGAGGAGGATGTTATTTAGAGCCCTGATAGATTAATGGTAAAAGTTCAACTCTGGGAAATCTATAAACTGCAGGATTTTCCCAGAAAAAGCCCATCCTTGCCTTAATCGCCTTGATGGGATTTTAATGGCCCTGAACAAAAATGAAATGCGGGCCCATCTGAGAAAATCCGGATTTATTCCCACAATGGAAAAAAGCCTTCTGCTGCAGAATGCTTAAAAATTGCGAGTTTTGCTCATCAAGCAAAAATAACTTGCAACCCTGACATATACACCTCTGAAGAAATATTTAAATTTTCCTGACTCAATCTTTGCTGGGATTAATATCAAGCATTAAAAAGATCATAGACAAAAGTGCTAACAAGGGAAAATCAACAATGATAGGTACTGTAAATCATTGTTTTAACTGAGGATTGTATGAAATTCCAGCTCCTTGTCTCTATAATCCAATCTTGGCAAACAATAAGTCAACCAGTTTCCAACATAAATAAGAAAACAATGTTTCACCTCTCAACCAAACACACATGTCTCCAAATGCACCCAACCTCGCCATCTTAGCCCATTACCCAACCAGCCTAACCTAATGCCTGAATTATCTAATGCAATCCATAATTCATATAAATTAAGGTCAAGGCAAATAATGATGCAAACTTTCAAAAGTTGTCTCAAACTGAAATAAATTACAGAGCTGAGTTCATGTCTGTAACTCCTCTTCACTTCTGCATGTGCTGATCTGTTGAAATCTTTGACATATGCACTTATGAATTGTGCCTTGTACACAGCACGCTTTTTGAGTATTAGTCTGTACAATTGTTTTTGCTTGAACCCCAAGCTTTTCTTGACATAATTTCACTTTATACTCTGAAATATGGACAGATTTTAATTTGAGTTCACCTTCATGCATGAGATCTTGAAGCAGCATGGATTTTGCCTTCCCAAGATTTCCTCAGCAAGCAAGGAATACCTTCTTAAATCAAAATCACCCATATGGTTTCTGAAATAAGCGTGCATCTGAATGGCAGAAAACATAACTTGCATGTCCTCAATGTAAGATGTGACATATCCATGCTTTTGTAGTGTTCTCATCAACCATTCTGGGGGTCGGTTTTCCATATACTCCTGCCAGAAATGAGAGGTCCAGAACCGTTGTCCTGCAATATAATTATCAGCCTTGTGGAATTTTCAAAACTGAATGACCACAAATAAATGACTCATCAAAACACATTTTCCTTGACTGGGAATTCAATTTTAACACGTTTTTATTAACTCGCTTTCTTGTCCGTTTGTTTGTCCAGATTGGATTATAGAGACAAGGAGCTGGAATTTCATACAATCCTCAGTTAAAACAATGATTTACAGTACCTATCATTGTTGATTTTCCCTTGTTAGCACTTTTGTCTATGATCTTTTTAATGCTTGAACATGGAGATTGTTGGGAAGAAGTGAAATATAAATGAAATAGATGCCTACCACGTTTAAGGTTATTTTTTGCTTTTTGAAAACGTGGTTTTTTACATTAATTTTTTAATCTACTATAATTATTACAGTATGTAGAAATGGTTGATGCCTTTGTTTCACTTGACTCAGTTGACTGACCACAATTCTGATGAATCAAGAAAGAAAGCGTCTCAACCTAATGGAAAAACTTCTTCATAATTTACAGTACAGTATTTTTATAATAAAAAAGTTCCATTTCACCTAATAATGATCTGAAGGAAGCTGGGAAATTGACCCATCCTAAATTTGTATGCATAAACTATAATTTAACTCAAATCCAAATGGACCTTATCTAATGTAATTTAGCCACACATCATTGTTACACCCAATCATTGTTAATTTTTATTTGTGGTCTGCTATCTATGTTCAGCTATAGTGGATGCATCAGAAGTTTAATGAGAATAAACATTTCCAAATTGATGTAGTTACCACAAAGCTGAATCAAGTCCAAAGAACATGTGTAAAGCTCACTCATCATGTCAATTTGTTACATTTCAAACAGCACTGAATCAAAATGCATTCAGCACAAGATACATAAACTCTCAAAAACTGTGAAACATATATTTTATGCATCCACCACTTGAAATATCATGCCCAAAATTTTGTGAATCAACAAGAAATGATGGCTAACCTGTGAATAAGGCAACCATATTCATTGCTGTTGCATCACTTATGCTGTTGTACCCTTGGAAATGGAACCCATTTTGATTGCTCCTCATCCTTGCCCAGGTTCTTGGAAGTGAGTGAGAAAAAAAGTTTGCCGAAGATGAGTCGAATCCAAAAATCACGAAATTCAACTTGGGAGCAGCTTGTGGCAGTCTGTGCCAACCAGTAGTTTCCTCTATTAGCGGATTCCGTCTCAAAAGATGATGTATTTCATTCCATCTTGGATGATATATGAAAAAATACTGTAGTACAGTATCTTCACTAAAAAAACACTCCACATTTGCAAGGAATAAGTCAAGGTAAACTTCGTCTTTTCCGGAACGCACAGTAGTTTATAAGTTCTTTTCTGATTTAATTTTAACATATGGAAATCTATTCAGACACTGCTTAAGAATGGAGTTTTTGACCGTAATTTATGGGTGTTGCATGAAATAAAATCGTAACTTCTCCAAAACACTGCAACTTCACACTGAATAAATCGAGGGAAGTATTGTTTTCCCCAATGCACAGTAGTCTAAGATTTTTTCTAATTTCTTTTTTCACAAACCGGAAACTATTTATAAACTGCATTTGGATGGATCTCTTGACCGCAATTTTACGGATAACAACGATTCCTTGATTTTCGTGGTAAATTTGCTTTAATATTAGTAAAATAATTAACCTGCTGAATTACTGTAGATTTAATCGAGTCCCTCTCCTAAATTTCATCGGATCATTCCAAGAATCGCATGACATCAAAATTATGGATAATTTAAGATTGAAAAATGGAGCCCGAGCTGTTTTTTCCCTGGATCCGGTTTCGTGGTACTTCCTTGAGGAATAATAGTGAGACTCTTTCCAGAAATCGACATTTATTAATTAATATATGATCGTTCGGAAAAGCTTGTGTTCAAATTAAATTATCAATTCATCCGCCGTCGTTGCTTTATTTAAAGGGATTTCGAGATAGTGTAACTTATTGTGTTCGAACACTAATCTTTTTCAGGCTTCCATGTTCAGAAATACTGTAGAGTACAATGAAATACGCGATGCGTTGGGATTTCAATTTGCAAATAATTCAAGAGCATTGAGGATAATTTCGACCAAAGTTGATGGGTACATTCTCAAACAGGAATGGAGATATTATTTTCTGAGCTTCTCTTGGTATATAGGAACAAAAAAATTCCACGAAGGCCGAAGCTTTTCAGAGAAACCCATGAACTAATCGGAGTTCATAAAATTTGTAATTGGCCTGGTAATTTTTCGTCATGAATTCAACTAACCGTCGTTCTGTGAGAGGATCCAAGCAAGAAACCAAAACAGTGCCTGAAAACCTGGCCTCGTATGCCACCGTGCTGGAGACGAGCGTTTTGAGTTTTCCATACTCCACGTCATGAAATCTGTAAATTTCTGTGAGTAATATGAAATTAACATCAAAACTGTAGCGTTGTGAACAGCGCAAAATGCATTCACCGGAAAAATTGCACGTCATTTTCGGAAAGTTCTTTGTATCAATTTCGATGGTTGTGAAATTTCTGGACACGAAAATGGGCGAGTTTCCGAATTCACGATGCTTTTCGCAATTGAAACCCTCGTGTTTTTCAACAGGACGGTTTTTATAATTGGTGAGATTCAGTGTCAACTTGAATGGTTTGCAAGCCACGTCTGGATCGTCGGTAATTGTTTCTAAACCATCGTTCATCAACGTAGTCTTTTCAAATGTCCGGACGGACAATGTCCATTTAATTGTCCAAGAAACAGCTAAGCACAGGAGAAAAAATATGAGTTCGCGAAGAAGCATTTTGCAACGTACTCGTGGAATCAGGATCCCCATTTGGAGGAGTCCAACACTTCTTTTGATGCCTGAAGAAAGACTGAAAAACATTTCCTTTTGTGGGTGGATCCACTGAAAAGTTGATCTGGGTATAGTAAACACCGCCAGTCAAAAATACTAGATTGACAATAACAGGATGAGGATGAAAGTATTTTTGAATGCTGGCGCCTCTGCGAAGGGCATTACTTTATTTTATTTTAATCATGACTTAAGAGAAAGGTCTGTGTGCGGAAATTTCCGCTGACAATAAACGCCGCCTGCCGAAAAAGGAGAAGAAGACGTTGACTCGAAATCGGCGCATCTCCGGATGCGCCGAAAAGAAACAAGAGCGCAAAAGAAAAATTTTTTCCCGGAACCGGGGCAATACAAGCCGACTGTAAAAATTGGCAAGCGCCAAAAAGAAGGGGAATTTCTCCCTTCCTGTGAAAATCGAACTGGGGAACAAAATCCCAAACAAGGCCAGCTGCTGGCAAAATAGGAGGAAAATTATAGTAGAATAAAAAATTAATCTAAAAAACCACATTTTTCAAGTAAGACTAAAAAGTACAAAAAAATTTAGTAGATTAAAAAATTAATCTAAAAAACCAGAACTCATATTTTTTCTCCTGTGCTTAGCTGTTTCTTGGACAATTAAATGGACAAGAAAGCGAGTTAATAAAAACGTGTTAATAAAATATCGTCTTTCATGAGAGACAATTTGTCTTCCGACACAAGACAACGTGGAGCTGTCAAAATCTTTTGCAAATTTAACTGAAAACCAATCTCCTAGGGATATTATTTTACTGCCGAAAATTTTGGCAAAACACTAAAACCAAACACCGGGTTGTCGGGAAAAACATTTCCACAATTTTGAAGACAGCAAGAGCAATTGAAAAGTTTGTTGAACAGCTGCCAACATCTGGTACAGTATTTACAAAACTTCGAAAAATCCCAACACCTGGGTGTTTTTTCCTGTCCAGAAAATCCTGCCAAAACGGGAGGGAAAATTGCATAAAAACCGGGGGGAATTATGCGTAACACACAGTCGTCATTCTGAACGTCAGCTAGTCATTTTGCAGCGTGCGTTGAATATTCGAAAACCCCTTTTATTTTTCTGCGGACTTTACAAAATTATTGAGTGTTGAAGTGTTGTGTGATAGCTGCCAATCCAACTCTGGAAAACTTTTACGTTTCTTAAACAATTTTCTTCAAATCAATCCTGAATTTATGCCCAGCCCTGCGCCTTGTATCTGTTACTGGGAATCCTGTATTTCCTTTTGATTACAAAAAATGTCTGTGCTTGAGAAAATTTGGGAAGGAACTTTTGCGAACATTATTTTTTCCACTTCTGGAATTTCCTGAATTAACTTCCGTCTTCTGAGAATTCATTTGAATATTGAAACTATTTGGAATGTGTGTTTTGTGAATACTTGTATTCGTTGCAATTTTTGGTACTGTGCATTTGAGACAAAAGAAAGGTCAGCGCTGGTGGGGAGAAATCCCCGGTTGGTTTGCGCACCGGCCAATTGCTGTGTTTTAATTCAGCCAATCAAACTTCCTAAAATATTCTGAAACTCTGCTGTAAATCCTCCAGTAAATCAAGGTGTGAGGCTTGATAAAACTGACTCTAAGTTTAAAACCTTACAGTCTGCATCATTGTGTAATGAGTATTATTTTTGATGCGTCACTCATCTGAAGCAAAAGTTTGTTTTTCAATTCAGGATTTTTCATTTGTTGTTTATGCAGTAGTCGCTAAAGAGGGAGAGATATGTGTCACCGAGAAAACTCGGTTTTCCAGTACCTTTTCAATGCATCGCTAGTCATCCTTTACATAGTCTACAATCTGCATGAATTAATGAATTGTTCAAAAATCCTCAGTGGACCAAGAAATGTACCTGTACAGTGTCAATTATTTAGAAAAATTATTGATACTGTACCTTTAAATTATGTGGAAAAGTCAGCCTTCCTCAGAGTAATTTTTAAGTCACTCAAAATAATTGTAGACAACTCAAAGCTGTTCAAAAATGTGTATGAAAGTCAAAGTTACTCCAAAAATTATGACGGACGCCAAAGTCAATGAAAATTATTTTGAACAACTTTTGTTGGATGCTTATCACTTTATACACTGCCAAGAATTCAAAAAGTATTATTGAGTGACTTGAATAAGTAGTCAAAGTCTCTCAACATATTTCTGAACATCTTCAAGTTGCTGAAAAATGATGAGTTACCCATGTTTCTCAAAATAATTATAAGCAAATCCAAAGTGCCCTCAAATTAATGTTATGCTAATTTGAAAATTCAAATAATTTTGAGCCACTGTCTGGAGTTGTAAAAATATTTTTGAATAATTTCAAGTAGCCCAAATAGTTCAAATTGATTCCAAGGAACTCAAAGTCACTCAAAACAATTCTGAATGATAACTCCATAATAATCAGCACTGCAAGTGATGATAATTAATTCAATAAGTTTGGGCAACTCAAAGTTGTCTGAAGTGATTTTGGGATATCTTGGCATCTGGAAGTTGCTCAAAAATAGTTTTGAGCAACTTCCAGGTGCCATGTGATTTTTGGGCTCTCCAAGTCACCCAAAATGACTGTGAGTCATCAAAGTGATTTTGAGGCACTCCAAGTCAAAAAGTTTTTTTGGGTGACTCCAATAGAGACTCACAGTCAAAATAGTTGTTGGCTTATCCATCAGATGATGGGGTGTGAATGTCCAGGAAACAGCTAAGCTCAAGAGGAAAAGGTAGTGATTTCATGGAAAGGCATTTTACCCAGTATGCAGCAAAGTGGATGTGTTTTTTTAAAGCTTGGTCCACATTTGGAGGAGCTAAAAGCTTATTTTTATGCCCAGAGAAAAATACTAAACTGATTCCGTTCTCTTGAGAAATCAACTGAAAATCAGGCAGCCTAGTAAACATAACAGCTTGAAAATCACGGGGTAAAACATAAAATCATACCTGAAGGGCACCTCATCAAAAGGATGTACAGTAATTGATGATTTACCAAGAAAAAGCCTTGCTTCAGTGATTTTTGATGTGTGACCTAAATCAGTGTTCCTAACATTTTTGGGACCTTGGACCTGCAACAGACTTTCAAAGTTGCCTGAAATTTTTGCAGACTCAGAAAAGTTTTGCTTGAAAGACTTTCTGGCAGGTATTCAATTTTTTTCTTCTCTTTTTTGCAACCAATGTGACAATCAATGAAACAGCAATACTAAAACTTCTTCAAAAACTTAGAAAGGTGGGTTTGAAGAAAGGTTTCTCAGAATGGAAATTGAAATACTTTAATTTCTTTCAGCAAGTAAACATTTTTCTGACGCATTAATGGGAGAAAAGCCAACTTTTGTTTTTCATGAGATAATTTTATCAGCCCTTGTTTTTCCAGAATCCCACTTGAAAATAACAGACTTCATCGTTACTTTGTATTACGATAATTTATTATGCTGTAGAAAATTTCCCACTGACTGGAAGAAAAACTTCTGCCACGGACCACGGGTTGGGGACCGCTGCAGTACAGTATCTCATATTTTTTTGCCGACGCCAAGAAAGTACAAGTACATTATTCATTCAAACAAAAGAACGACACTCATGCTTCACGCAAAATTAACTTTTTTCACAAAGTTCTTATTCCAAAATTAGTGTCATTGGTGAGACAATAACATAATATCTCCAGGGATGGTGCCCAACTTTTGACACATTTCCCTGTGGGAGAATACCTGTCCAGACGAACCACTTCTTGAACCTGCCGAAAAGAGAGAAAATTTATAGTTGATCTCACGATTGAATCGACTGACCCCATGGGATAATTCAAGTAATCTTACTTGGATTTTACCCATGCTTGAAGTGGTCGTGTCTCTTTTTGCCCCAGTCACGACGTGAACATGAGCTTGTCCAGGCGATAATTCCAAATGAAGTTCTAATTCTTCTTGTACTGAAATAGGAATACGTTAAGAAACATATGTACAAAGACAGGCAGATTCGCAGTGTGCGTCTGAAAAGAAGTTGCTACTGGAAATACTAGATATTCTTCTGCAGAACACTGAAGAAATTCAAAATCTCTCACTAGAAATTCAGGTATCAACAGAATGCAACCTAGTCATTCACTCCTAAGGAGATGCCAGAAACCGTTGTCAGCTGAATTTATTGCATTGAAAAATCGAACAAATACCGAAAATTTGAAACTCCGAGGAATAAATTCAAATCTTTAAAAATGTGTTCACCTGAGTCTTTTGTCGCTGGGATCCTTCTGGTTGACATCACCTCAATCTCTTTCAAGTCCCAGTCTTTGCAAGTGCCAAAAACAAATGCAGGAAAGAAGCTGAATTCAGGGCGAAGATTTTTCTCTTCCTCTGGAAGATTATCAGCAGCGAGCACCTCGTGATTATGGAAGAGCAAGCTAACCCCCGCTGTTTGGCCGTGTCTCCTGAGGTAGACTTTCTTGTAGAAGGGGTTTTCTGCAGTTTCTCTCATGAATTCTATGACTGCTAAACCCGCTTAACTAAGCACCCATGTCTCCAAATGCACCCAACCTCACTAATGTAGCATATTAACCAGCCAACCTAACCTAATGCCTGAAATATCTAATGTAACCTATACTTAATATGAATCAAGCTCAAGGCAACTTAATAGAAATGAGAACTTTTACAAGATGAAATAATGTACAGAGATGAGTTCATGCCTGTCCACTTCTACAAGTGCTGATATTTTTGAATCTATGACAGAGGCACTTTATAAATCAGTTCCTGACACATGCTTATAGAGTAATTGTGTATACAAATGTGCTCACAAGAACTCCAAGCGTTTTTTTTTCCACAAAAGTTTTGTGTATAAACTAAACTAAGGAAGGATTTGAATTTGAGTTCACCTCCATGCATGAGGTCTTGAAGCAACAGGGATTCTGGATTCCTAAGATTTCTTCAGCCAGCAGAGAATACCTTCTCAAATCAAAATCGCCGTGATGGTTTCTGAAATATCCTTCCCTCTGGATGGCAGAGACCTGAATTTGCATGTCCTCAATGTAAGATGTGACATATCCATGCTTTTGTAGTTTTCTCATCAACCATTCTGGGGGTTGGTTTTCCATATACTCCTGCCAGAAACGAGAGGGCCAGAACTGTTGTCCTGCAATGGGGTAATCTGCTTTGTAAAAACTTCAAATTAAATGTACAATGTTTAAATAAATTTGTCATCAAAACACATTTTCTTTGACTGGGATTTCAGTTATATCAGGAATAGCCAATGCATCTGATGCACTCAACTGACCGCAATTCTACTGATGGAGTTCTCACCTAACAGAACAAATTTTTTTATAATGTACAGCGTTTCAAAAAGAAAGTGTTGACTTGAGTAAATTTAAAGATAATAGAATTGCTCCCTGTGTTTCCTAGCTGGTTTAACCTGGAGGAACACTTGTGACAATTTCCAAGCTCCCAGCACTCAGAAAAGATATACTTTTCTAGTATTGTACTCTAGTCTTGTATATTTGAGTGTTGTATTTTTGTTGAAGATACCTTGTGTGTTGTGTGTTGAATAAAAAGGGATTGAAAGCCACACAAGTGACTCAGTTCTTTTCAGTAACTGATAAATATATTTCCTTTGTAAATATAACAGTAACTAATTTAAGGACAACAGTACCTAAACTGTAACCCTTTTCAACTCCAAATGGACCTCATATCATCTAACTTAGCATTGCACCCTACCAGTTTCAACTTCTATATTTAATCACTCTATCCAAGTTGAGCTACAGTATATATGCACATGAATTCTCATGAAAATAAAAATTTCAAAATTAATTTCGTCACAAAATTGAATCCCTGGAACAGCTTTCAAGTTCATGCTTGGCAATGTTTTAGTTTTCAAAAGAGTAGTGTAGGAAATCCAAATGCATCCTCAAAATAAAACTGTGCATCATTTTTTTAAAACTTTGAAACTCATTTTGGGCCATCACCACTTGATGGATTATGTACATAAAAATGTGCAAATAATGAGAAACAAAGGAGAACCTGTAAAAAGGGCAATCAAATTGACTGATGTTGCATCGCTTATGCTGTTGTACCCTTGGAAATAGAACCCATTTTGATTGCTCCTCATCCTTGCCCAGGTTCTTGGAAGTGAGTAAGAAAAAAAGTTTGCGGAAGATGAGTCAAATCCAAGAATCACGAAATTCAATTTGGGAGCAGTTTTCGGCAGTCTGTGCCAACCAGTAGTTTCCTCTATTTGTGGATTCCGTCTCAAAAGATGATGTGTTTCATTCCATCTTGGATGATATAGAAATAAAAATAGTATCTTCCCTGAAACACTTCGAATTTGAACTGAATAATTCAAGTTAAGGTTTGTATTTGCAACTCAGAGTAGTTTAAGCTTTTATAATTTCTTCCAACAAATGGAAGACTATTCTGGAACTGCGTTTGGGTGGACCATTAGACGATAATTTTCAGATATCAATGTTCATAGAAAAGTTACTTTATTACTGTAATAGTTAAAATAATGAGGATCTGAATTACACTGAATCGAGCCCCTCTCTCCGAAATTTCATCGGATCATTCGAATTCCAATCCTTATTTCATTTGCGTTTCCTGAGAAAAAATATTCATTCAGACTATTACTAATAAATAAAATTCAATGATTGAATGGTTCCGGTGAGCATGAATCGAAATAATTGATTATTATTTCCGCCAGTGTTTTATTTAAAAATTATCTGTTGAGATAGTGAAACCTAATTTGTTTTAATTTAGGTTTTGCTCGGTTTTTTTTTCCATTTTCGGAATTGAAGTACGCGGCATAATCAGGTTTCCACATTGCAATCACAAATTATCGAATTTTCAAACAGGAACAAATTACTTTCCAGAGCGTTTACTGTTTGAGAAGTGGACGCACATTCGTAAAAGCCTCAGCTTTCCAGAGAAACACGTGGACTAATCGCAGTTGATGCCTTTGTGGCCTGATGAATTATTGTCATGAATTTAACTAACCGTCGATTTGTGAGAGGATCCAAGCAAGAAACCAAAACAGTGCCTGAAAACCTGGCCTCGTATGACACCGTCCTCGAGACGAGCGTTTTGAGTTTTCCATAATCCAGGTCATGAAACCTGTAAATTTCTGTGAGTAATATGAAATTAACATCAAAACTGTTGCGTTGTGAACAGCGCAAAATGCATTCACCAGAAAAATTGCATGTGATTTTTGGAAAGGTCTTTGTGTCAATTTCGATGGTTGTGAAATTTCTCGACACAAAAATGGGCGAGTTTCCAAATACAGGATGCTTTTCGCAATTGAAACCCTCGTGTTTTTCAACAGGACGTGTCCTGTAGTTGCTGAGATTCAGTGTCAACTTGAATGGTTTGCAAGCCACGTCTGGATCGTCGATAATTGTTTCTAAACCCTTGATCATCAACGTAGTTTTTTCAAATGTCCGGACGGACAAAGTCCATTTAATTGTCCAAGAAACAGCTAAGCACAGGAGAAAAAAGATGAGTTTGGGAAGAAGCTTTTCGCAACGTTTTCGTGGAATCCTGATCTCCATTTGGAGGAGTCCAGCACTTCTTTCGATGCCTGGAGAAAGACTGAATAGTTTACCCACATAAAGTAAACAGGGAAAGTCGAAAATACTTCATTGAAAATAACCCGGTCATTTTTAATCTTCCAAGAGTATAAAGAAGTATTTTCTTCAACTGAAAAGTGTTTTTCATGATGTGCTGAAAGGTCTATACGTATTCTGTAGTCTATATGATTTGTGCTGCCTCAGTTGACTGAGTTTTTCTTTTTTTATATTCTGACTGCTTGACATATTATATATTCTGTGCAGTGGGCCCTTGGTTAACAAATTGCTTGGTTAACAAACTTTTGGTTTTGAGGAAAAACCCCTTGGTTTAAAAGCCAAAATTCAGCTGACAAATTTTTTTTGGGTAAACAAATCCCAAATAGTAAAAGGCAAAATATGATTTTGAAACTGAATTGTATGCTACAATCCAAGTGCAAATAATTCACCTATGCACTGCTATGAAAATGCTTAACTTCTGACAGCTGATAGGTATAGTCTTATGTTTTAAAATTGGTTTCAGCTACATCATTCATACATGCTTCTTTTTGACCGAATTATTTGCTTTTCTGTGCTTGGTTTTTCCATAGTTTTGAAATTTAGAACGTTTATTTGATGCTTACTTGCAGCAAAAAGGAAAATTTTCATTTTCACCTGACATGTATCGTGCTGTGTGTGTTTCTCTGGATGTGAAATTTTTTTTATTGTTTTTGTAATCAGTGCTACTTTCTTATGACACAGTAAATAAAGCATTCTGCTGGGCTTCAGATAAGTTGCAGCAACAACTTATTCTTATTTTATAGTTTATGGTGTTGAATTTTTTATATTCTAATATTCGATTGTCTTTTGGGTTCACAGAGGGATCAAATTCTTCCCCATTGAAGTCTATGGGAAAATCAAATTTGGTTAGCAAACTTTTTGGTGAACAAACTCTTGTCTGGAACCAATCAAGTTCATTAACCAAGTGTCCACTGCACCGAATTCGCTGAAGAGAAAAAGTTAGTCATTTTCTGAGAATTATGTTGCTGAGAAAACTGGGGTTTTACTTTTTCATTCATGGCTCTAGCAGGTGGATGCATAAAAGGATCAGAATAGAGTTTTTTCGTGCCGCAGGTTTTGCTTGAGTCCAACTGATTGCTCATTCCCCCTTGATGTTCAATCCTTGCTTCGCGAAAATCCAACTACTCAAAGTAGGAGTAGATGTCGCTCCTCTTGTTGCGTCTGCGTCTCTTGATAAAATTGGCGCATAGCGGTTCTCATTTGACGGTATGTACATCAAATTGCAGATTCCGAGGCCAGTTGATCCCAGATCAGTTGAATGTACTCTGGAATCTTGCATCCCTGCATAGATGAGTTTGATAAAATTGACATGTGTTGATCTTTATGCCTGTGTCTTTTGTTCTGTGCCGTCATCCCCAATACTCCTCTATATATTTCTTCAGCCCCTGTGCTGAAGATAATTCGAAAGCATTCAAGCTTTTGAAAAATCTTTTGTTTTGGGCGCAGTATGTAAGAAGACTATGAATAATCGGCTGGTAATGATGAAACGTGTTTCTTCAGTTGTGTAGTTCCCATTTGGACAATGTTCCTATACGCACTTTTTAAAAATTGACAACTTATTATGCACTATATGCAGTAATAGTTATTTCATCTAAGTTTGCAAATTTCCAAACTATTTTTTCATTGTCAAATGTTTTTTGGTATCCCGGAACATGCTCATCATGGAGATTTTCAAAATGTTGGCATCATGGAAACTGCATCAAAGTTCTTGAAATTTCCCAGTTACGGTTTAGTTAAAATGTATCCTATTTATAATTGTGCAGTTACTAGCTCAAGAATAGGAAATCTCCATTTTAACCTTGGCAAACAAAAACCATTACATTATGGATTTTGAAATGATTAAACATGTGCCCAATAGGAACAAGTTCATATTCTCACCCATTCATTTGAAAATTTGCATTTCTGTGCTGCATCTTTTAATGAAGGGAGTTGTTGCCTCCTTTTTTTGTTCAAGAGCGTTTCTGCAAGTGTCAATTTATTTTTTTCTTTGGAAAGAGCAATGCTGCATGTGGAAAAAATAAATTTTGAGATTATATTTCTTCTGTATCTTGCATTATGTTTCCTGTTGTGCTATTTCTCCAGTTTTGGAAGCATTTTCCATTGAGAACAGTGTGTTGATGTGAGACCCCCACATGTGGACGCCTTGACCTGCGGACAATTTGACATAGGGACACTTATTTTCCCCCCAAAAAAATCAATAAAAAAGGCCTGACATGAGGACACTGACTTGACATAGGGACATTTTGTGTTAAAATTCCAGATAAATTTCAGACCAAATTACAAGAAACAGATATCTCCAACCCTAAAATTGTTGTAAGAAAAGTTGTAGGGCATTTCTCTCACCAAATTACCATTCATTTAGCTAAATAAAAAAAATTACCTCCAGCATAGAGGGACTTCTACTTTTTTCACTTGAATGTTATTTTTGTAGATGCCAAAATTTCAGTGTACAGTACATAACTACAGAGATAAACTATTCAATGCTCAAAATGTTTTTATTGAGTTGAAAATGTATTCATTAATTCAAATTCAAGTGGCAAAATTTTTTTTCAGGGAATTCTGAAGAATTTTTCTTCCACAAAACATTAATTGAAAATTATATAATGTAAGTCTATGGGAAAACAAGACTCGACTTAGGAACATTTTGACTTGGGGAATTGGGGACACTCTTGATGCACCAATTACATCCGCATCTCAGGGTCTCACTGTAATTGGTGAATCAAGAGTGTCCCTGAGTTGATTCTTGTTTTCCTATAGACTTACATTATATAATTTTTAATTGGTGTTTTTGGCAGAAATATTCTTCAGAATTCCATGAAAAAAAAATTTTGCCACTTGCCTTTGATTCAGTGAACATATTTTCAATATAATAAGAACATTTGGAGCATAGAATAGCATGCCAGTGTATAGTTTATTGAAATGTTGACATATGTAAAAATAACATCCCAGTTGCAAAGAGAGAAGGAAGTCTCTCTGTGCTATAGGCAATTTATTTAATTAGCTGGATGGATGGGAAAGTGATGGTAAAAGTACCAAAGAATTTTTCTTGCATAGATTTCAGGGTTGAAAGTATCTGTTTCTTGCAATTAAGCCTGATAAAAGACTATTTTCCTAAAATGTATTGGCAATTTGATGATGTAATGTCCTCATGTTGAGTCAATGTCCATATGTTGGGCCTTTTTATGATTTTTCCATTGAAAAATAAATGTCCCTATGTTGAAGTGTCCGCATGTGGGGGTCTATCTTTATATATATACATATATACTGTATATATATTTCTTACTCAAAACCTCTGTAACTCAATTTTTCGTTGTTGGTCCCTTACATTTATTCTATGTTTCTCAAAACAAAAATTATTGTTTTTCTTATTAAAAACCTCTCCAACCTCGTCGTCGTCGTCGTCGACGACGACCCCGACCCCACAGAATAAATCTTGGCAGGGAGCACCGCTTTTTCCTTCATGAGAGAGAGTGTGGGTGTGTGTGTATATATACTCGTATATATATACTGTAGTCAGTCACAAGCTGCTCAAGGGGAAGAAGAACGTGAGTCAAATACTGTACAAGAAAATTTTCCTCCTGTCAAGAAGGCATTTTTTTGTTTTGTTTCAGGGCTTATTCTCACGTATAGTTCTTTCGGCTTCCTAATTATCGCGAGCACCGGATCACCTTTTTTGCAGCCGAAGGCTGACATGATTCGACAACGACGACGACGACAACGTTTTTGCATAGGTTCTGCTGAGAATATTACTGGTTTCCAATTTTCCGTGCCCTTTTTCCTGGTGGAACTCCGATTTTCCCATCCAGGTGCTTCTGTCTACCATATGCAAGTGATCAGATGTTGAACATTGCATTTTCCGTAACCCAGTGGAACCTCTTTGAGTCGAATTCCGAGGTACCAGCAAAAACCCTTTTGAGTTTGAGAGGTTTTTAGTGAGAAAAAAAAAGAATTATTGCTGTCGGAAAGATCAAAGAATTGCAGGAAATTCCATATGTAAATGATCAGATGTTGAACATTGCATTTACCGTAATGCAGTTGGAACCTCTTTGAGTCAAATTTCAAGGGACCAGCAAAAAACATTTTCAGTTGGAGAGGTTTTTAATAAGAAAAACAATAATTTTTGTTTTGAGAAACATAGAATAAATGTAAGGGACCAACAACGAAAAATTGAGTTACAGAGGTTTTGAGTAAGAAAAAAAAAGAATTTTTGTTGTGAGGAACATTGATGAAATGCAGGAAAAGTCAATATGTAAATGATTGGATGTTTAACATTTCATCTACCGTAATACAGTCAGAACCTCTTTGAGTCAAATTTCAAGGGACCAGAAAAAAAAATTTTGAGTTGGAGAGGTTTTTAGTAAGAAAAACAAGAATTTTTGTTGTGAAAAACCATAGAATAAATGCAAGGGACCAGTAAAAAATTGAGTTCAAGAGGTTTTGAGTGAGGAAAACAAGAATTTTTGTTGTGAGAAACATTGAGGAAATGCAGGAAAAGTCTATATGTAAATGATTGGATGTTTAACATTTCATTTACTGTAATACAGTCAGAACCTCTTTGAGTCGAATTCCAAGGGACCAGCAAAAACCCTTTGAGTTTGAGAGGTTTTTAGTGAGAAAAAAAGAATTATTGCTGTCGGAAAGATCAAAGAATTGCAGGAAATTCCGTATGTAAATGATCAGATGTTGAATATTGCATTTACCGTAATGCAGTCGGAACTCTTTGAGTCAAATTTCAAGGGACCAGCAAAAAGAAAATTGAGTTGGAGAGGTTTTGAGTGAGGATTACAAGCATTTTTTTTTCTGTGAGAATCATAAAATAAATACAGGAAATTCTATATGCAAACTATTGATGTTGAACATTGCATTTACCGTAATACAGTCGAGCCTCTTCAAGTAGAATTTCATAGGGACCACCATTTTTTTTATAGAGGTTTTGAGTGAGGAGAACAAGAATTTTTGTTTGGTGGAAAATGAAAGGATTGCAGGAAATTCCGGATGCAAATGATCAGATGTTGAACATTGCATTTACCATAGTACTGTACAGCCAAACCCGTTTGAGGCGAATTTCAAGGGTCCAGGAAAAAAAAAATTGAGTTGGGGAAACACTCTTGTTTTGTTTTGGAAAAAGCAAAGAAAGAATTGCAATAAATTGTAAATGGTTATATTCTGAGCCTTGAATTGCTTCTCAAATGATTTGCCAGGATGCTGACAATTTGAAGGCAATGGTTCATTTATCCAATCAGTATTTCTATTCCAACTCTGTTTCCTGCTGTCCATTGAAGTTCTCAAAAATGAAAGGAATTGGACTCAGGAGTTCTTTAGAATTGATTTAAAATTTTAAAAATCCCATTAAAAATGTATATATGCAACTAATTCATGAGAATGATATAAACATCTGTGGGAAAATGTCATCTTTCGCTTTTCAAAAATATATTACTGTGTTTATTAACTTGTTGAATGAATGAATGAATGAACAGAAAACTTTATTTGCTGCTTTTCAGCGTTCACAAGGGATAACCAGAACTCATGCATCCAAACCCCCTCCCCACCCAACCCAACTCCCCCAAATAGTAAGTTAGTAAAGTTTCGTACTTTGTTAGCACAAACAAATGCCAAAAATAAAAGAGAACACACTCCACAAAATAAAACTGGACATCCTACAGGTATGTTGCATACACCCACCCATCCCCAATATTGGAGACAAAGCAGCAGTAAAAGTTTATTTAAAGTTTATTTAACTTGTTTATTCACAGACTTAAGCATATAGAAAAATCAATTGTTCCTGGAAAATTGCCTCAAAAGCATGTCTACTTGAAAACTTAATTCACTGCTACTTTAACGATGAAATTTAGAGCATAATTTGCCATCTTTTGTTTCAAAAAATAAAAAAGTCATATTTGTCTTCAAAGAAATTGCCAATACTTGTAGTACTGCTTCTAGTGTTGCAAAAATAAATGCTGGAGTGTGATTTGCTATGCTGAATGATAAAATTGTGAGTCCAAATTCTCCTGAAGACTTGTCCTTGTGCATCTCTGTGTGAACTGGGAAAGACCTTGGTTCACACACACTCTTTCTGGAAGCCTCCAAGGCTGTTTTTTATTGCCAAATCCTGGTTCTTGTTATTTTTCCTTCAAGGACAGTTTTCCTGGTTTCTGAATTCATCAAAATCCTCACTCTTCTCTGAGCTCTCATACAAGACACTCCAGCATTTTTGTGAATATTGTGTGTGTTGACTGTGTTTGTGAATTACAGCAACCTTAAAATAGAGTGAAATTTCACCCCAGTCATATCCCAACCAAATTCTGTTGTTTTATTCATTCCCATCTAAAATAAAATTCTTCTGAACTCAAATCATTTCTTAAACATCTTTATTTGTCAAGGATTTATTCCTGACATGTAGTACTATCCGTAGTGCTAATTCATTGAGGGGGAAATGTCATGTACACAAGCATAATTTGCATGCAAATACATCTGATTCATACAAATTCATGGGATTCTAAATTTCTTTTTTTTTGGTTCATCGGTCATTTATTTAAAAATATGGGAATATTTGTCTATTGTGGTGTATCCACTTTCACGTAGTAAGAACGGTTTTTTCATCTCTCGAAGTGTGCCAAAATCAATTGAAATCCTTGCGTATCTTGTGAAAGAAAAAGAAAAAGCTCCAATAACGTTTTTTTTTTTTTTTGCAGCGTACTTCTTGAGAAATTCATAGCTGGAAAATCAAGCATATACAAATACCCTTTGGGGATATTAAGAGTCTTTTGAAAAAATCACTCCTGTGACGACGACTCGATTGCAAATCTTTCTTCGAACTAACCTCGCCCCATTTCATCAATCTCATTATCCATTCCGAAAAAAAATATACACAAGAGAGATAAGCGAATATCGTGAATGGGATAAAGTTTCAAGAAGAAGAAGAAGAAGAATATAAAAAGGAGGAATGATATGGAACCCAGCAGCAGTGGCAACATCGTGAAGACCCAGAAGAGTTGGTGGGCCGGGGGAAGTAAAAACTCTCCCTGGGCTTTGACGTCACAACGAACATCTTTTTTGCCTCCACAAAGCCCGGCTGTACAATAAAACTCGCTCTTGGAGGACGGAAGAGAGACTCCGGGGGGGATATAAAATCAGAAAGCCGGGCTGGCACGAAAATTTATACAGATTTCCGCTGCTGGTACACGTCTGACAACCTGGTGGTCGCGAAGAAAACGAGTTTCGTTTTTTTTGTTCTCTTCTTCAAGGTTGCATGAGCAAGCAGATGTCTGAATGATAAAAAAATAATTATAGTAGATTAAAAAATTAATCTAAAAAAACACGTTTTCAAAAAGACAAGAAAAGTGAGTTCATAAAAACGTGGTAAAAAGCTGGTATCTTGAGGAGCAACGGGAAAAAATAAATTCTGCGCTAGTATTTATTATTATTTTTTGTTCAAGGCATCATCAGCAGATTTTGCATTTGCTGCAAAGCATTCAAGGAGTCCTCTATACATGACTCCACGGCATTGCCTCGGTTAATGTACTAGTCCAGCTTTAGTGGAAAGATGATTTAGAAAAACATTTACTTGTCCTTGAGGTGTCATACAATTTTGCACTTATTGCAGTGAAAAATTTCTCTGAACCTTTTGGGCCCACAGGCTGGCAAATTTCTACAAGATTTTTAACAGACCAGCTGATTTCCCCAAAATGTTCTGTGTATACTAGCAAAATTTCATGAAATTTTTGCTGGTCCAAAAAAATGAAGATTTGCTTGAACAACTTTATTTGAAAAGTTTCTTCTTTTTTGCAAAAATTAATAACCAAATGATGCAACAGTACTGGCAAAACAAATTAGAAAGGTGAACTTGAAAAAAGGTTTGTCAGAATTAAAAAATAAAATAAATTGTTTCAGCTGGTGAAAATTTGTCCAAAGTGTTATGAGGAGAAAATCCAACATTTATTTTCATCAGATTATTTCTACTGCCATTGTCCTTCCAAAATGTTCCTCCACTTAACACTTGCCTCCAAATTCAGCATCCTGTCAACTTATTTACAAGGCAGTTTTTGGCCATAAAGAATAACAAATGGCAACTTCCTTCAGCCCTTATCTTCCAAGGCAAAAATTATAGTTTCTTCAACTCAATACCTTCCCTATGTATATAAGTTGAATAATTTTTGCTGGTTCCTTGAATTTTTTGCCTCAAAGAAGTTCAACTGTCAACAGTAGAACTTTGAAGAGTCATTACTGCTATATTCAACAAAACATTCTCTGGGAGCAGGCTGAACACCTTGTGCTTTAATTTGGGGTTAGTAATTGCCTGATGCTGCTATTCTTATTACTGTTATCTTGTTTTTGTTATCAGGGAAGGGGAGAAAGTGTATATGTATTTGCATCAGTGTGCAATTGTACATTTTGGGATTTATTTTTGTTTTATATCAATATACAGCTTATTTCTTGGTTTTCCATTCTAATGTGATGGAATG